AGGGGACCATTTGTTAGTTTGTTGGGTTTTTTTGGTGTTTTTTTTTTTGTTTGTTTGTTTGTTTTGTGGTTTTTTGTTTTGGTTTTTTTTTGTGAGTTTTTACTCTTTCACTTAGGTTCTCTGTAAACAGCTCTTCATTAGGCAGTATTCATCTGTTTTCAGAGTGGGCACATTCCCTTCACTGTGGAGGGGGTGGAAGGGTTGAATAGTCCCTGATCTTATAGTTTAGAACTTTTACCATACGTAAGCTTGGAAATTTTAGGTCTGGCACTTATTAACTGATATTGAAAGGTAAAGAATTCATTGTTGTGTGTATCAGTATCTCTAAATTACTGCTTTCCATTGTTTATTTTGTCTGTCCTGTAGCTTTTGGTAAATATTGTCTGGAGGCATATGAGGTTAAAAAGTTCAGTAGGACTTAGTTTTTAAAAAAAAAAAAATCTATTGCAGGAAATGTTTGTGTATGATAGAATAAAAAGTGTAAGGGGAATCCTAGAATCGTAGAATAGTTAGGGTTGAAAAGGACCTTAAGATCATCTAGTTCCAAGCCCCCTGCCATGGGCAGGGGCACCACACACTAGTCCATGTCACCCAAGGCTCCATCCAGCCTGGCCTGGAACAATGCCAAGGATGGAGCATACACAACATCCTTGGACAACCCATTCCAGTGCCTCACCACCCTCACAGTAAAGAACTTCCTTTTATCTAACCTAAACTTCCTCTGTTTAGATTTAAACCCATTACCCCTTGTCCTGTCACTACAGACCCTATTGAAGAGTCCCTCTCCAGCATCCCTGTAGTTCACAGTACAAGTCTTATTTTTGACACTTAGCATGTGCAGTTCCTTGTCTTCCATTCCCGTAAGAGAAATATAGTCATTTGTTACCAGAGAGGATGCTGTATGAACTGGAAAAGTAAAGAACATTCTGTTTGTGTGATTTGGGCTTTCTTAGCGTGTCTTAACCTCATTTGGAGAAATAGTAAAGAAGCCCTGAGCTTTTCTGCTTCTAGTGAAGAAGTTGCACCTGTTTGGGATTAAAGTTCTTGAATACTTTAATGTAGATGCCATTTAACTTGGGATTTGAAAATGCTGCTTTTGATGATGTCCCATATTTGTCTGTTATATCATTTAATGGCATCTTTAAGATGTTACTTATGCTTGTCTTTGGTGGAGTAGTGCTAGAACCTAGTAAAGGTACCTGTACATTATGTCGGATAAATTAGTCTGTGGTTGTT